GGCTACCATATTGACGATTACCGTGCCATTTATGAAATAGTTTATGAGGTAAAGGGAGAGGAAATTTTGGTAGCGAAAGTAGGGCAACGCAAACCAGGAGAAATAGATGATGTTTACGGAGGATACCACCCCCACCCTACTACCACAAGACCAACCATTACCCAACGGCCCCAAGCCCGAGATTTCAGCCGAAAGGTGGCCAGAGGCAACGGAAAAAGAAAAGTAGGGCATAATGGTAAATAATACTTCTCAACAAAATATAAGGCAAAAGTGAATAATTACCACCGTCTATTGTCTAATGGTTGGAACAATAATAATAATTTAGTGACACGGACGCAAAAAATTAAAAATTTAGTGGAATTGGAAAAATTTAGCCAATTTTTAATTCCTCTCCTAAAACCTAACGTATTTTTAATTTTACAAGGCGAATTAGGAGTTGGAAAAACCACTCTGACTCAATTAATCGCCAAAAATCTGGGAATTAGAGAAAAAGTAACTTCTCCCACTTTTAATATCCTCCAAAGATATCAGATAAAAAATGATTATTATTTAAATCATTTTGATTTTTTTCGTTTAAGCGTCAATGATAATTTAGACATTTTTCAAGAGCTAACTATTGATAATTTAAATGTTGTTGAATGACCGGAAAAAAACCCCCAATTTTGACAGGCCAAAAAATATATTCACCTGAAATTAATTAAACAAGATTTTGGAATTAGAACCGTGACCATTTTCTTTTCTTAGACGATAATTTACCAATAACATATAACATACTGCTTTTTTATATTGTGTCAACACTTACTAATGGCAGGCGGACAATTAGCAGCCAAATCTTTTTTTGGCTTAAAAATTATTTGATGAGGAAAGAAAGGAAAGAAAATTAAAATATAAAAATAACTTATTAATCCCTATGAGTGAAGCAGTTCTCTGAATTTTAATCATTATTGGAATATCAATTTCCTCCGCTCTGAAAGTTTGTCTCGAACATTATTTTAACCGAAAAAAGCGAGCCGCCGAAACCAAAAAAATACAATTACAAAATAAAATTACCAAGGAAATAACCTACGACCAATTAAAAATCGAGAGTAAGCAAAAAGATATTAAAGGTAAAATTGACATTTTTCAACGTTTAACCAAGTTAGAGGAAGAAATAAAAAATAAAGAAAACAAAACCGCCAGCGACCAAAAAAAGTTGGAATCTTTGGAAATGATTAAAAAAGAATTTAAACAATCTTTCGAAGCAGAGGAAAATCCTAAATTAGTTGAGGTAGAAAAGAAATTGGAAGCCCAAAAAGAGAACAAAAATAAGAAAAAAAGCAAGTCAGAGCCAAAATAAAATTGTATAAAATTATTATAGGGATTAAAAATAAGCAGCAAAATAAAAAAGTAAAATATGAATTGAGGGGACAAAAATAATTCAATAAATATCGGCTTCCCATTGAGTTCAGAGAACCGAAAAAAATATCAAGAGGGGGTAGATTATTGCGTTGAGGACAAGGGAAATGGATTTAAAAAATATATCATTCTCTCGGAAAAATTAAAAGCAGATTTTCGCAGATTTAACCACGGACAAGATTTTGGAGATATTACCGAGCAAAAATTTGAAGTGCTGCCCGAGAACTCCGAAGAAATGGCCAGGAAAATAAGGGAGGGGAACGAAAAGCATCGGCAAAAGTTCATTGCTGAAAATAATCCACCCAAGTTGCGTTATGCTTTTCTAACTCCTGAGGATGAGTTATGAAATGAGCAACAAATACCTTTAACTAGTGCCGAAAAAAATGCTCTTAATGACCCAATTTTGGAGCATTGTGGAGATTGAGAAAGGACTCTTTCGTTCATTCAGAAAAACCGCCAAGCCTGCTCTGATACTTTTCCTGACGAAAATTTTGCCTGGGACAATGAGTTCATGTCTAAAATAGAAAAACCTGGCACGAGCGAACACAAAGCCCTCCAAGCCCTCAAAAATGCTGGTATATCTTTGGATAAACTTTTTGAAAAAGTAGAAAAAGGACGGAAAATCAGGGAAAAAAAAGAACGAGAAAAACCTCACCAAGATAAAGCCAAAATATTAGCCAACATTGAGGATTGAGAAATCCGGGGTGAATACATTTACAATTCCAAAACTGGCCATTGAAAGTCGGCAACTAATAATATGTGGACGGGAGGAGATGATAGGCATCCTTATTATTCTGAATACGAACAAGTAAAATTAACTCCCGAAACTTATCAAGAAGTAAGGCAAGCCATTTTTAACCGCTTTTTAAAAAAATTGCGAGATAACAAACAGGAATGAGAAATTACGGACCAAAGCCTTAAATCCAAAAAAGGAGACCAACCGGTAAATTATGAGAAAGCCGATTTTTCTCCAACCGAATGAGCCGAAATTGAGAAAGAAATCGGCAATTTTTCCACTTCTAAAAGCCACCAACAATCTCCAAATAATTCAACAAATCGCCGTGACTTAATTATCATTATTAGCCTAGTCGGTTTAATAATTCTGTCAATTGGACTACTGATAGTAAAAAAATGCCTTAAAAAGAATGACCCCAAAAGATAAAAAAATAGCCAGCACTCAATTCCTCAACGAAAATATTCCTTTTTCTCAAGTTCTCTTGGTTATTGACAAAGAGGAAAAAGAAATTATTGATCGTCAAGAAGCCTTGAAGAGAGCCAAAAATTTGGGTCTGGACCTTTTTTGCGTGGCCCCAGACAAAAATCCTCCAGTTTGTAAATTAATTAATTATCAAAAATACATCTTTGAATTAAGTAAAAAAAAGAAAGACAAAAAGGAAAATGTTTGTAAAGAAGTCCGGATTTCTCTCAATATTGG